TTTGTCGGCTGATCCGTACAGGATCAAATATGCGGTTGGAAAAGGAAAGAAATTTATTCTATGTGCCTTGCCTGACACGGATTCTGCGGGATAAAGGTATCAAGACGAATTCAATGAAGAGAGCCTACCGCCTGTTATTAAGAAACCCACGGGACCCTTTGGATCGTTCGGCATAACAAATACCCGAGGGGATCTGAATGGCGACACACGAAATCGATTATCGAGCAGGAGGCTGGACCGTTACTATCTTTTTACGCTCCCCTCGCACATCAAGAGATTCGATCTTGTTCATCTTGCTAAATTGGATCGTTCAGTGAATAAATATCGCTGATTCTATATAACGAGAAATTAGACACTCATGTTTCGAGTGTCTAAATACCGCCCTGATAATGAATCGATGTCACAAAATAGGCGTACTTTGTCCCTCACAGCTCTGATAATGATTAAATTGCATCACGGTAATGATGTAACGTAATACAGTTTATGTGGACTAGATTTCTCCCGTTTATACCATAAATGGTGCAAATTCAAGTTTTTGAAGCGTCATGAATTTTCATCAGGTGCAAGAGATACGGACTCGCTACAAATTAAACTACTTTAATGCTTTAATGCACTGTTATTTAAATCTAACTCTAAAACCTTTTTTTAAATTCAGCGTCCGACGATGTTCACGGAGTAGAGTAACATAACTATCATGGACGACGGCATTTGCGTATGCCGGGGTCACGTTCTCGCCATTCTTTCATACCTGCTCTAAGAAAATAAAGGACGCGGACGTAACGAGCAAACACCGAAAAAGATATTATTACGAGTACGGCAAGTCGGACGGCGGAAGAAGGAGAAAAAAAGCGACGTGACAAAGAGCGAGGTAGCGGCGTACCCACTAGAAAACGGAATGAGATGGACAGACAGAGCAAGGGTTAGTTAGAAGTTAGAAGAACAGGGACTGCCGAGAGTTAAGACAATCGTGCAGCTTATAATTAACCTTAGTTTCGGGAACTGCGACAGGATCAGAATGAGGAAACTCGATAAATCCAAACGCGGTTGTTTAAGAGACAAATTAGACAAAATGACGATACGACCGGAACATCTCGAAGACGTCGCCGTCGTCTTCTTTGTCAATTTGCGATTGCGAATCGCAAGGAAACTCACGGGGAAATTGTCGCTGAAGGAGGCGAAAGGGTTTCCGGAACGAGTGTAAGCGGGAGGGAAAGATAAGGGAAAGTAGAAAAGAGGAGAATGAGGTAGATAAAGGGTATAGTCGTAGTTGGGTGAAATCGTTAAGAGGGTTGTCGAGCATCCTGGATATTGGCCCTGATAATGGACCATCCTCCTAAACGCTCGTTCGCGCTCGTCCTGAAAAGTCTCAAGAACGCGTTCTCCTCCTCTTCTTTTCTCGTACTCGTTTATCCTTCGGATAATTCGTCCATACTTTCGATTCCATCTATTAAACTCTTTCGTTAAGATCGGTGGAATAAAGTAATTACAACAATGACAACGGATAAAGAGACGTTTCGATAATTGCTAAATCTTGCGTAAGCCATCGCAGTTCATTTTTGGAATTGGATGAATCGTTTTTCTAAGTACCTGTGCAGAGTCGATCGATGATATCGACAAATTTCTGTCATTTATACGCTTCATCCGCAGGAGACTCGCTTTATATGACAGACGCGTATCTAAACGTCGCTTTGGCGTGCAAGCTTGAAATTAATTCAAGATTAAAACCAACATTCAAGTGCGCCTGGCATCCCCTCTTAGCCGCGATCTCCGAGAATTAAATCCCGAATCACGAATTAATCTGACACGCGCCGGTTTTATGTCAACCAAAGCGACAAGAATGGCAGGAATCTGAAATTCCATTGGTCCAAATATATTCTGCCGGATTCGAGATTACAGTCCGTATATGAGAGCTGACACCACAGTTTTCATCTTAATTATTTTCAGAAAGACAATATGCAGTGTCATGAAAATTAAACGTAGATACTTTTTTTCAATTGACAAAGATAAGAGATAAGAGACTTTAACTGAATATCTGAAAACGTATCAAATATAACTTACACAAGATCTCCTTATTTTTTTACATTGACTACATCTTTAGCAAGCTATTTTTTTCAATTAATCAATAATTATTTCTAATCAATCATTATTGTTTATTTTATAAGAAATATCTCTTTCTAACAACGGCAATTGTGCTTCATAATCAAATAGAATTTTATTTTGCGAGAAGAAACTTTGTCTTTTTTCAGCTTTGCAATCATTTCGACGTAAGAAGTAATTGATCTTATTAAGCATTTTATAAACATTACGTTCCAGATGGAGAACTTAAAGGACTGAAAAATAAAGAAAACGGCGAAAAATTCGTTTAACTCAATCTCGGAACTACGACAGATTTGACCGGTTTTTCGTATCGCAATTTGCGATGTTAATCAAAATTACGAAAGAGCCACGGCGATGGAAAGTAAAGCTATCATGAAAAGCCGCTTATGCAAATCTTCGGACAGCTGTCTCGCGTCAAGAAAAAGACTTTCTATGTAACGTTGAGAACATATATCTACCTATATAAATTTTATGTATATAACGTTTCGACATTGAGATGGATCTAGCGCAAAGTTTCTCCTTCCCTTTTTTTTTTCTTTGTCTTCTTCTTTGTTCGTACGTTCTCTAGCCTGTCAATCTTTTCTACCGATAATTAACGGCACGAGTTATTTCTCGTTAGATTCTAAGTCTTAACGAGTCGCTTTACGACGATGGTAACGCTTCGAGAGTTTGCGTAAAATGTATACGCAGTTTAACGAGCGATTAATGTGCTACGATCATTTGAAATCTTCAACCACATCTTTTGGAGGGAGAACAAAAGTCATGCTCACAAAAGAATAATTATACAAAAATGTAAAGACGTGTATATATATATATATATATATATAGATGTTAAATTTATAAACACTACAAATGAAAAAATTAAAAATAGAAGGATAAAATCTATTATTATTAGTATTTTAATGAATATTGAGATAAGACGACATAACGAACTATTTATTCAAAAATACATATATAATACTGTATTATTACCGAAAAATACATTTGTCGAAATAAAATTCAAGTAAATCATAACTTTTGAAATATTCGATTCAACATGAATTAATGTATCTCGCTAACGAGTTCACAAAGCAAAGCGCAAAATGAATTATACGACAATGAATCTGAAATTGAAAATGAACTGAATTTTCGATATATCGTCTCCATTTTCGTACTTAAATAATTTTCCCGTAGAGATACTAACCTGGCTGACATCGTAAACACGATGCTCGTCGCTCGTTTGTGGACAGCACCATTTACGATCTAAGATCCCCGCACTATCATTCGAGAGCCGGTGGGACACGAACCCCCATTACTTCCGAAGATGCGATCACGACAGGTACCACAAGATTCTGAACGCAATTGTTTCACACAATTGGCGATCGTCGGTGTCCATGCGCCTAATCAATTTTCACAATTGACAACTCGTGAGCGTATCGATGCGATAGGTACAATTACATTTTATGATCTATACATATAGCATAGTAAAAATTCTAGTAAAAAATCGAAATAATTTAAAAGGACGATAATTTTTTTTACACACCCTTACATATACATTACATCTTTCACGTTTTAAATTCTTCAAATTAATCGATCTTCAATTTAATCGGATTAAACATGTGGAAATATTCGAGTTATTAAATCGAGCAATTTAAATTAGGAATATCGATAAATCATTTATTAATATATTTTTGCAGAATTTAAAATACATATTAGACTTAATTTATATTAAATATAAATTGCGCGAAGCGTTTGCTTTGATAAATAATCACCGCTTCGATGCACTAATGAGTCGTTAGTCATAAAAGTTAATCAATTTCGATAATCTCTACTAGTTTAAGTAATAATCGTAGGTTGAGAAATAACGCGAGATACGGAGTGATTTACGCCGCGACCTACTCGTTCGAATCTCTTTGTTCGATTGATAGCGACTGATAGCGTGGCGACGTAACATAAATATTTCAAATTGTAAACACGTCGTAGTAGCGAGGCCTTGGTTTTTGTGTTATGTCGTCATCACGCTTTGTGTTTACGTCGTTACTTTGTGTTACGTCGCCGCGCTATCATTCGCACAATGAGACTCGAGCGAGAAGGTCGCGCCGTAAATCGCTCCGTACTGATTTCGCGTTATATATATATATATATCGCGTATTTTATATATATATATATATATATATATATATATATATTATTTTGATATATTTGCGACATTATTAATTCACGCTACGTTAATATCAATTATGAATTTATTAATGCTCTACTTTCGCATCGTGACGAATCGAGCGATGCCATGCGATTAGGTCGCACAATAACGCGATATATTCGGGTCATAATAAGGGATTAATTTAAATGCATAACGCGCTATTGGCGCGGACGTTATAAATTCTATCTCCTCGATTAATATTCGGTGCCATTGGTGACTTGTTGATCCGTTCGTCGGATGTACATCATATTCAATCATAACCACACCCACGTAATGTAAATCCCATTATAACGAGTGTGCCGCAATCCAATATTGCCAGTACATCTGCCATCGATATTAGCAAGTTACATCTGTGTCGATTTAGTATAATGGATTTTCTATGTACCAACGTTGATATCAACGACGGGGATGAATGTCACTGCGCTGTCGTATTCGCACGAGCGAAAAGTTACATGCGTATATATCTTGAATATCATTGATATCTGACAGCCATTCAAAATTAGTTTGATTTTATCTTAATCGCCGAAGGATGCGTATTATTAATTAAATTACCGTTAATGATCGGTCACGAATAAAGCAAAATTACAATGCACCGAGTTCGACAAAGCGAATAAATTTCATCGACATATCGCGTTCATTTCAATCCTGCCTGTTTATAATGCTCATATTTATCTACCATCGAGAAATGGAATTCTATTCTCTGCCAGGTTTTATACAATTTTTTTTATTTTTTAAATATAAAATTCTATCTCTATATTGGATAACTTTTTAATTCTCTCAAAGCTACAGATATATCTAATTCTTCTATTTTAAATTTCTAAAATCTATTACAAAATTATTCTCTAAAAAATAGCAGACACCTTTTGATAAAATTTTTAATAGAACTTTTAATAAAACTTTTAATAAAATGATGATATTTCAAAGCAATATAAAAAATTTTAATATAGATATATTGTAGAGAAAATAGATCTCAATATATTAATTATATTGTCTAAAAAACACGATAATTATTTGATCAGAAAGATATTTTGTATAATTTCTGCTTACTAATTTCTTTATTTCGCATTGATAAGAATCTATATAAAAATTATTATTATTAAGAAAAAATTATGCTGTATCGCGTCGCGATCGAAAAAGAAATATACAAAAGATATACGTATAAAAAAGAGTTATGATAAAATGTCCATGAATGGCACGAATATGACTTTCCTGTAAAACATCTCGGAGATAAACAAATTCTCATCTAGATTTCGAAAGCTGTCTTTCCTTTATTCGTAAAACGAAAAGAACAGAGCGATTTTATTTTAATATCTCACAAAACGGTCTCCGAGATACTCATCTCTCGCGATGTCAGATAATGTAAGGTTCTTAGGTTTCTTATCGCTCTAAATATGATTTCTGCTACGAATTGTATGCGAATCATAGATCACTTCGTAAGACAGATGCGTGCACAAGTCGGGACGTAAAAATGATGGGAGTTGCGGTGGTATTATAAACAACGTGGATATAAGTATTCGTCTGTCGATCACGGTAGAATAGTAGTTTCGAAAGTGCGAAAGTGTACCGGCGTTCCTTCCCTTCATACACTAAGGCGCGTCTCTATCGTGAATTCGAATATCCTGTTGAAACGAAGCGAATGGCGAATGATGAACCGATGCCGTTGCCGCTGGAGCGTCTTGAAAGCCGCGCCCGAATAAAATTCGGCGCTCCGCGGGTGATGAACCGATGACGAGATGCGATAAAGAAGCGAAGCGGTATCGCGGAGATGCACGAGTTTAGAATACGAGAAGCATTGCAGGAATCACTCGCTGCATCTCGTACAGTCGTATAAGAATAGAAATAAAATGTTGCTCGACGATCGTTTGCCTCTCTCCCAGGAAAAAGAGCTGAGTTGTATTATTTTAATGCAACAAAAAGAAATATTGTTCTCCCATTACTCCTTTATCATTTAATTTCTTTACTCGTTTAATCTTTTTAAGCTTTTAAAATGTATCTGGTAATTGATAGTGCTTTTTAAAAATGAAAAAAATATTCTGTCAGACCTAACATGGAAAATTGTCTGCGATTGTCATCAACTGCAATTTCATTTATCTTTTTTGTCAATGCATTTTCCTGCTTTTAATTAATTCCGATTTGACATGATTCAAACTTGACTCGTAAAATCCGATATCCGTAAATGTATTTTTGAACATTATTCGCATATTAAACCCAGTTCTGGAACTGATGACCCAGTTTCTGAAATCAGTAAGTTAACCGTGCACTCTCGCGTATGCGGGGAATGAAAAACGTCACGCTTCGATCGCCGCATTTTCTGTAGACATTCGCGGGCGAGATTTAAAATTATTGAAGCAATACATTTTCTCATTTAACGATCACTCTTGATTTTGTACTTTTAAAGTTTTCTCGAACACGAAACTTCTTTCTAGTGCATCAAGTGCTCGTCCTTTCTTGCATCGGATAAATTCATGGTGCGACACTGGTAGAAACGAAGATGGAAACTTCTCTGAACGAATCACATATACACAACACGTATATATGATATTTATTCTATCGACTAAATGGAAATTATATATCGCGCGATTATATATCTCGCAATAATTTAATCACAGTGTTTCACGTAAAAACTCCTCATTTTATACGCAAACGATGCTTATTTAAATTTCTTCAACTAAATATACATCATTTTATTTATCGTTCCATATTTGATTTATATTCTATTATTTTATTAGCAATTATCTGATTATTATTTTGATATCACTTATGTACTGTGGCATAATAAATGCCGCGATATAAACAAAAGTAACAATCTTGCACATTTGATACGATATGGTAATATTGTGAAAATGTGATATAAACAGATAAATTACCTTTGACGTAATAACGAGCGATACAATCAACTCTGAAGCGTAAACGCCGCAATATCTCACTGCGCTAAAACGCAAGTACGATATAAAATCCACCTTATATGATATAATTCAAAAAGCATGCGGACGTGGAATAAATAAATTTAAACGCAAATAAAGTAGTCATATATTCATAATGGCGGATATGTTATTGTTCTATCGTGTATTGTCCATGCTCGACAGGTGAATCTGTTTTACATATTTTATCGACAACGAACACGGTACATTTCGTGGTTGATTCTATATCCGTGAATGTGGTTACAAGCCTGAGGAATCTCCGATACACACACCGGACAACCGGAGATTCCTTCTCGGAAAAGAGGATGGGTCTCGTGAAAGGAACAGAAAGCGTGTGGGATCGCAGACATGTGACATTCCGAATCCGGTGGCGCAAAAAATACAGGAAATTTTTGAAATAATTTGTGTCGAATATTCAGCACGAGAGATTGTACTTTTTATGATTCAATCTGTAGCATAAAAGTATATAAAGAGAAGGAGCTAAAGATCCGCATTACTAATGGGCATGTAATTTGTGTTCGAATAAATTTTGCGTATATGCAATTGCATATAGGCAATTATTGAAATAATCATCATAATGTTTAGATTGTCGTATCAATAATAATTATATGAAATTTGGTAAAATTATTATCCGAATGCGTCCAACGAGTTACAATATACGGCGTATCCTAAAACAATCGACGTATAAAACATTAAAAATTAATTTAGTAAAAGTAATAATTCTTTAAAATGATATACCAACTAGAATACGAGAAGCTAATAACTATGTAATTTTTTATCTAAAAAAATTAAAGAAATCTAAAACATAATTATTTATAATAATTAGTGTTTATTGTAATAAGAAATATAAAAAAAATTATTGATATTGTGACACTATAAATTTCTATTATATAAAAAATTTATAGTCGATTTCTTATTTTTTACATTTTTTTTTATAAAAATTTACAGAATGTTAATTAAAATCTAATAAAGTCGACTAGACACTAAAAATCTAATAACGTTTTATTAGACACCTAGTATATCATAATAAATTAAATCATTGGCTCGGAGTAACATCTATATATTTATATATAATTTATATATATCATCAGCGATTTTATATAAATTCAATAATATCCAATTAATTTATTCGCGCGACTGGCTATCATTCTATCATTAATTGTTAAAAGGTCTTAACAAATTGAATGCAAAAAATAAAATGAATAATAATAACACTTCTAATTTAATATTAAGAGAGTTTATTAAATCTATTAAACGTTGAAATAACGGTTTTATATAAAATTTTTGTTGGGAAAAAGTCAAGGCTCCATTATCTAAGAAAACTTTCGTTCAATTACCTTATTATCTTCGGTAACTTTGATCTAAAAAAAATTGTTAAATAATATATATAAAAATATTTTATACCTAAATTGTTTAGATATAAAATAATTGGCA